ATTAATTTAACCAGCATCTCCATTGAATGATTCTGCTCATTTTGAAAGGCAACGTTTAGATCCCTTTCCAAAAGTAACTTAACACTATCTTCTATATATAGTGGTTAAATTACAACTAATAAATCAGTTATGTGAGATGTATTCACCCTATTTTATTTAAGATAATGAAGTACCAGTAATTAAGTTTTCCTTGTCGGATGAGAACAATTTTTGGGAAAGCAAGACTGTGAAATTCGTTGTAAATGTCAGCTCTATTCATTTTATTGTAGGAAAATTCAGCTACCAGCCCTTTATCAACTTAGACGAAATAGGATGAATACCTCTCATATAATTAGCACTAAGTTTAATTACTTCCTCATTGTTTCGATTATTCCTTGAGTTGATTTTATGTCTAAATTCTTTAATTTTTTATAATTTAGGCATCTGTCAACCTTAATCATTCTTTCCGCTAGATCGTCTGCCATAGTGTGCAATTTGAGAGTCTTTTTGAGCAAAAAGCATAGAAATGCGTTGAAGCTGTTTGAAATTATTTTTTCAACTTGGTTATATTGTCGTTAAGACTTATAGGAAAGCACATTGCCCGGAGCTGTAGGTATTATACCTTGCTCTAATGATGCTCGCCTTAAGGTGGAGATAAGCTAAGCACATTTTTCCCCGAATCGAAGGTTTCCTCTAAAACACCGTCAACAAGAATGTTTCAATAAAGCCAATCATTCGACAGCTACTTAAGAGGAATCCGCCGTCGTCTTTTGGCGGGATCGATCTTCCCCAAACACTTTCACTTGAAATGTAAGTTCAAAAATTATGAAACAAGAGATTCATCGAAATCCAACCATTCCTCGCATATTCTGAATTTTATTATTCTATTTTGCAAGTCATTTAATATAGGTATCCTGCTTGTGAAAACTAAAATCACACTAATTGATGGTCCTGTTTTGAACAGAATTGAGACTGAAATCCTTAACTTTCACCTGTATATTGTACTCATTTCCTTAAAAATTGTAAACTCTAAGCTTAGTTTAATAGATATACTAATCTACATAAATACCAAATAAATAAATAAATATATTAAAGGACCAATTGGTTGCGGCAAACAGAAATTAAAGATAAAATCTAAATAGAATGCAATAGCATAAATATGAACTGACCCCAGATTGAGCAGATTCCCCAGGGGGCACCAAGTCCCCAGCACAATTGCGACAGACCCGCCGACGCAGCCTATTCGACATTGATGGTCCAAACTCAGGGGCAGTTGGCACGTTAGACTCAGGTGGGACAGGGGACTTGGAGACAGTCGAATTCAAGAGTTGAGAGTCAGAACCAGTCAAAGGTAGTGTATTAGTTGTCAAGGAACAGGATAATATAGTTGACGATGCAGGACGAGAAATATCGGAGCCGAGTTCCAACGTTTCATAGACGCCAGGGTTATTATCATTTGTAATGGAAGAAGCATCATTCACGGCCCCAGGTTCGCTTGAATCAGGATCTTCAAGTGAGCAATCGGCAACGCTGCGTCTAACTACGGTAAAAAATATCAATACAAGTTCGTTTTAGATTGGAAACCTATTCATATATCAAATAACAATGCAATAAGTTCTATTCTACAAAAAAGTATGTATCATAAATCACAACTCTAGATCTCTTGACAATTGCGCTATACATAGTTAAGGCCAATATTCCTCATAA